CGGACCCACTTTTTGCTGGATGCACCCCGCGTGACACACGCGTTTCCCGCTGAGTGACGCTGTTCTCCGGTTGCAATCTTGCTTGTTTGTCACTCACGGTGTAAGCGTGGAACTTTCCGCTTAACATTTTTGTCACTTTTTCTTTCGGACCACTCACCGGATTGATCTCGATCAACGAACAATCTTCGGACATCTAGGAGGACTGCAGCTAATCGGACAAGTGTTGTTTGTTCTAATTTTTTGTTGTCCTATTCAATGTTTTGGGGTGTGTGTTCAAAACTCTGTCCTGCCGTTTTTCTTGCATGTGCTTATTATGAGACGTACCTCATCTTGATGGTGTTTAATAAGATTGTAGTACCCCGATAGTGCATACCATATAGCGTCCAGGTTTTTCTTTGTAAGTTGAAACCGCTTTGTTACAAATTTGGGCCCACCTCACTTGTCTTATGATCATGATCACAGCTAACACCGTGCCCTTGTTATGAGATACCTGTTTTCATCATGTACACTCTGTTTATACTGTGACCTTAAAGCGTTCAACGAGATATCTTGGGACTGTGGTGCCTCATAAGCAAGTATTCTTTTGCATTAAATTTATTATTTTTGTTGGTTGACGTAGATATCTGTACAGTACATCTTTGCTTGTGGGCCTGTATTTAAGTTTTAAAAATAATGTAGGGTGCCTTCTGATTCATTTTAGTTACGACATTGATGTAACTATTTAACACGAACCAACCGTAAAAATCGCCCCCTACACCCTCCACGCTCTCATTATCAGAACTTTTTTCAACATTAGTCCCCATCTTGAACCACAGAAGATCTACCATTTTGAATCATCTTGTTCTCCTTGGTACATTTTTCTTCAGTCTGGCATAGCACTTCCTCACGATCCAGTACATATACGCTTTACGGTCTTTATGATCAGCAAGTCAACTCGCCCCTAATACATACATACCACTACTACATCTTGTACTATCAGAGTTCATGGGCAATGTCCAGTGCATGGAACAGCTGCATTCACATAGCTTTCGAGATCAACAAAGAGGACACTCAATATGAACTCCTCCACTAGAAATCCAACTTTTTGCAACATGAGGAACATATTTCTGGGGACGGCAGTGGGTCGTTATTAACCATACCTATACATGTTCTATACTCCTACGTTTTATTTGCATGTTGAATTCATTTTGAGTGTCAGTACCCATTCCCCACCCATGCTTATATGGGCATGTGTGCACCCAAATTAAGACCGAAAAGTTATTAAGAACCATCAGCTGGATTTTAAATAAAAAAAATAGCCTTCGTAATGAGGTCAGGAGACGAGACAAATTTTCTGATTAATCAACCTTGTGCGTGTTAGATGGAATTTCAGGCTATTCATGGTGAAAGACAGCAATAGGTGGAAAGGCTCACGGTAGCACCATGCGAAGGCATACATCTCTTTTTAGTATACATTTATGTGGTTTGGACTGCGTGCTTAGTCCGTCGTCAGGAAACTGAAGAGATGCTGAAGATGGAGCTGTTTATATAAGGTGACTGGATGCAGCGGGATGTGACGAGGGTGCTAGTGGTGGATTCAGCTGGGCGCTTATGCGGGACGGGGCCCAGCAGGTCAGTGAAGCGTGTCAGTTGGGCATAGGTTGGGATGTCAGCATGCCGTGGATCTTGAAAGGGGCTGTGTGGAATACCTTGATGTCATGTTTGTTCAAGGGAAGTACAACCTAGGTAGGGGAGAGTAACAGAACTAGGGGCCTTATCCGTTTGGCTTTGGGTATAGGAGACCCTTCGGCCGGGAGGGGATCTTGGCCTTGGGTCTTGAGTCTTGATCTGCTGGGGCTTGTAGCCGTTTCGTTGAAGTGCTGTGGAGATGTGGAGGTGTTCCTTATCGCAGATGTTGTTTGTGAGAACAAGGGCTTGGTTGACAGGCGACTTGATTTTGGGGTGATGGAAGGAGGAGCTGTTGAGGTATCTGTTGGTGTGAGTGGGTTTGCGGTACACCTTGCGGTAGAGGCGGTCATCTTGACTTCTGGACCCCTCAACAACACCGTATCTTCAATCCTGCGCGAAACGGCTCTGAAATCCAACGGGGTCAAGCAACGTGATCGCGTCCCCCTCGTACTCACATACCACCCTCGAAACATCCCGGTGCGTGATGTTATTCTCAAAACATTTTCGTACACTCGGAAATGATGCGTCCACAGCTTCCATTTTCACCGAATTCCCAATTTGCGCGTTTATGCGCGATCGTTCTGTCGGAGACAAGGTTGTATGTTCTTGGTTAGATTCCGTCTCGCCGTCAATAGCAGGCAGCAATTTCCCTTGTCAGCACCCAAGGTGTAAAACCTACCCTACATATTTAACAGCCCGTCGGTCGTCGGCCCCCGCGGTAGCTACAGAATACGCGGGGATCATACATGCATTACAAGTAATGTGGTTTATTGCGTTACGTGTCGTCGCTGTGGTAAACTGTACAACGGAGAGACCCAGCGTCGCCTTGTGCGCCAACAAACACCCGGTCTCACTGTTGCGCACATTGATCTCCATTATAATGGAGATCAATGGTTGCGCGCCGCCATATACTCTCAGTGACGTAAGCGTCTGCATCCTTCGGAAAGCGTCATCCGATGTACAGCTATAAGGAGCTGAAGCAGCGCGTCATTTTCCAACTTGGAACGCTGCATCCAGGGGAATGAACGTGGAGTTTTCTGCGTTCATTCAGAACTGAATCTGCTTACCCTGAAGAAGTTTCTCATTTACCGAAAGCTTAGCAATCACCAGAGCTCTGATTTTTTATTATATTCTTGTCAATATACTACAACACTGACTGGAGCACTAAATCTCTACTAACGATATTCCAAAAGGAAACTCATGGGTTGATACCAGACAATGAAACATCAGAAGTGACCTCCAGCAACAAATGAACCAGACGCACCAGGGTCTTCAGATGTATCGCTACCAACAAAGACTATTAGCGGTATGAGTACTGGAGTACTCATTTACTCTGTCAATACCAGAATGGAACCTACTCGTCACAGGTACAAGAAATGCTCCCGGTGTCATCAATTTCAAGACTAAAGTGGATTAGGATGCAACGATCATTAACTAGATCCTGACCAAAGTGCATTTTGGAGTGTTTTTTTTTTCTTGACCCTTTCCAACGTATGCGTAAATTGCACATGATTGTACATGACGAGACATTATGCAGATACAGGTGTTTCCAAGGTCACACAAAAATGTTGTGAGGTCACGTAGGAGCATTTGTGAGGTCACATGAAGGTGTTAGCAAAGTCTCTAAAAGTTGCTCGCAAGGTAACACCAACGAGTTCGTAAGGTCGTCCAATATCTGTACAAAAAATGCCCGTAGTCAGATTCCAGAGGTTGAAATCTGACATAAATAAACAAGGAGAGGGCGCCAGGAGAGCTTCGTAATACATATAGCTGACATCGGTCGGTAGGTGTCTTGCAGGAACAGGTTTCTAAATTTGTTGAGGGTCATAGACCTATGTGTAGTGGACGTTATTGACCAAAGACGCTACCCTGAGCAATTTTGTACAGCTACATCACCGCCCAAAATATTCAGTGTCATGATCGTCAAACCTATTTAGGCTATTAATGCTTAGTCCTGGACGTGAGTCGGCCTCATGGCTTGATTTTAGGGCCTAGGCTTGAGGGAAAAAGCCTTGGCCTTTGCCGTAATCTTAAGGGGTCAGTGCCTTGTGATTTTAGAACCTCTAAGATTTTAATTTTCCAGGTAAACTTATTTAAAATTGTGTCGTTCTGCAAACATAAAACCTGTTCTGCCATTGAGGAGGAAAACACTTTAGATTTGTTTACTTTTGAAATTTTGTTACCATGACAAGTCTAGAACATTTTGCTGCTTCCACCGCAACAAAGGCCAGGGAGACTATTTTTAACCTGCAGGCTATTATGCGGGGCACATGTAGACTTAACATGAGCTGATCTGTACTGTGGCTTGCCAATCGTCCTCGAAGTATATTGCCCCCAGAGAGTGATATTTTGCTAATTAGTTCAAATCATGGGTCACTTTTAACATCATGGTCGGATCTTCAACGTGAACGTCTGACAGATATCATTTTACTTGTCCCAATAGAGTTGTCACCCATAACTGGATTTTTAGATCACTGCAATAAATAGCTTTATTCCTTGTATCCCCACAAAATGCTACCCAAATGTAGCATTCATTTTATCTCAAAGTAGCCTCGTCAAAAATGGTGTCGGTGGTCAAATTGAAGCTGACAGTGTTTTCTATTTATACTCAAAAACGCATTTGGAGCTCATGTTGCGATGCAGAGATAGTTTCATTTACGTAGCACAACTCCAATGGAAGTTTATCTTGCAAGTGTACGCAATCGCTTAATTTAAATTCTAAAATATCACACAGCTGTTTGGGTTCTTAACCCGGTAGCTTTTTTTTTTCATTCGGAAATTTATGAGACTCAAAAATGTGTAATTTCGTATTTCAGAAGGCAATGGATATTTAATCAAGTGTGCGGTGAATTTCCTTCAAGGAAAATTACTTCAGTTGAAACTGAATTTTCAGTCCATTTATGGTGCCATCTCAGTTACGCCTGTGACATGGAGCATTCTTTTTAACCATTTAAGAATGCAGTTTTGTTGATGGAAAATTCAAGAGATTTAAGAAAAAGAAGAACTTTGTTAAGCTCAGTACGTGTATCATCATTCTGTTTGCCATTTTCAATGATCTTAGGCCCTTTGTCTTAAATGGTGAAATTTGTTCACCCCTAAGCGCCACGGAAATTTATCCCAGTTACGCCACTAAACCTGTAATGTTTTGGACAATGCAAGGACTTCATCACAAGTCTAACTTTAGTCTGGCACCCATCACCGTGTAGGTCATGCGGCGAGCAATGATGAGCTAGTGATAAAAGCTTTCCTGGTAGCATACGACCTACAATATGTGTTGAGCGTGCAATGCCTGTGATCAGTAAAGCAAGTGCACCTGAGCAAGTCGAATGGATCATGCATTTTGCTGAACCAACTATATGGTAGCGTCATCTGTTACTTTATCGTTGATAATGAACACTCCCATTTTCTGCTCCTTCACCACATGTCGATCACAAGTTTCTTGACCAGTAAGTTTCCTCAGCTAATATAAAGTGCAATTCATTTTACAGTGGATATACAGGGCATACTTCGGCTGTAAATCGGTAAGTACGGTATATCAGCACATACATAGAGATTATGAAGATAAGAATAAAAAAACATAGCCCCAGTCACAGAGCTTCTAGAAGTGGATATGGTTTTAGCGACTAGGAGTGGTATAAAAGATACCTCTTCATTTTGAGGCGTTTGGAGTGATAATGCAAATCTTAAAAATGTGAATGGTAAAGTGCGCGCCCACCTCGAAAATTACACATTCCATACCAAAAAGGGAAGAGGAAGAATTTTGTCTATCTAAAAATTTGTCCAAGTTCATGAACTTAATAAAAGTGATCATGCAATTTTGTTTATAAACTTATATGAGGGGACACAATAACTGCGGTGTTCACACTCGTGCAAGTGTTACAAGCGTTCTAAAACTTGACGTGTATGTGTATTAATTATTTTTTTGGCTAATTGCAACTCCTATTGGAGATTAATGTACGCTGGTTGAAGAGCATATTGCACGAACGTTCGTGCTGCGCGAATGGCTCTATATAGTTTTCGGATTAGGCCACCTTTTATGCTTGTTACTTGGTTCAATATGTAGGCCCTATCCGCCGCCGCGTTTGCTGCATTTCTCTCCTATTTCAATTAACGTTCTCCGCTACTTACATGTATACACATAACTCGAAGGGCTCTACAACGCGCACATTAGAGGTCGCTTTTACGGTTATAGTCTAATAAAACAATTCTGTTACAAAATGCTGAACTCAATTTAACCTTCCTATTGGTCAACGGCATGTAGTTTTTAAACCGCAGTTGATAAAACAAGTCCTAGGGACAGCTACTCGTGGAGCTGTTTTACATTTTCTAGAGCTCTAAATCACCGTACAAAGTGAAGCCTACTGCGTGCATTCATGTTTTTGGAAAACCTATACGGAAAATTGGAAAATAACTACAGCTTTTATATGGTAATCACAGTTGCGTCTTTGTAGACTAAACTAAACGTGCAATCCACTTGACGCCGGATGACGTCCACGGAGGACGTGTACACTCGTTTAAGAATTGTTTTTTTCATGTCCGCGGTTAACATATTAACGCGTCGTGCTTGGTTGGGTCGAAGTGCAATTGCAAGGTTAAAGAATTTACGGGTAAAAAAACCGCCGCGGCAGCTTTATTGGGTTAACTAGCTATATGAGTGTTTCGTTTTGCTTGGTGTAAACATCAAAAGGAAACGTTCATTTACTGGTTGTACGTTTTGGGTTTTGTTGTATAGGCTTTGTTAACACGTGGTTTTAGAATAACAGACACAGATGTGCAAATAGCCGTACAAAAGCCGTACAACTTAGATTTTCTATAGGTTTGTTCACAAACATGGATGCTTCCAGGCTCACTTATTATACGGCGAGTTCACGCGCATTGATTAGAACGTGTCCGGGACAAATACCATGGATGCATCACTATAGCAAAGGACCGTACTCCAGCTCGAAAAAGATATACAACTTTGTATAATTTATGAGCTTTACCCAACTCCATTATGAGGGTGGGGCATCACATGCATTATTCTACAGAAAAAAAGACCAATATAAAGTAGGACATAAGTGGAAAAAGCGACAACGTAGGCCTCCATCAAAATGTTGATAGGCCCTATATATTTCTTCTACAGACAACTGCCATTTAGTTGACAGACTATACAGACTACTGACACTACTAGTCAGCTTTGCAGCAGCTGGTTACAATTAAGGCTCCCTCCAGTTACTTTTAGCTCTATCTCGGGCAACCTCACGGATTTCCGTAGATGTTAGGATTACATCTTTGGAAAGGAGATGGTAAATCACATAAAAATAGATTAATCAAGTAGGCAGTGGTAATGTAGGCTCTGTACGATGTCCCCACCATGGATAAACCAAGGTGGAGATTTTTCATGTTCAGAAAACCGACGGATGCTTATCATATACGTTTTATGGAACTTCCAACATTATTATTGACAATAACAATTATCAGATGTAAGATATTCCTATTGAAGTATTAAGGCTCTTACCACAAAATGTGAGGCAAACACAAACAAAACGATGAAAATACCCGTCAGTTGTGGATTTGTTCAGGTTACTATTTCTTTAATTTTATTCTGATTTGGTACGGAAATTTAATTCAAACTTACCAAATATCACAAATCATCAGGTAGCGGTAGAAATAATATCGGTGACATTAGCAGGGCTGTATGGGGTTGTGCTGGGATGGGTGGGCCAGTGTCAGTGCAGAGATTTCATAAATTTGCTGATGAGAAGATTCTTGAAAGAATGGTTCTCAGCCTTATTTAAAATATCAATGAAAAGAAATCAAGGGAAAAATATAATTTTCAGTCAGTTTTGTATGCCACATAATTCCTGACTAATATTTTTAAAGTGGTACAAGAATATTCTACAAACCTCTTTCCATCGATAGCTTTTGCAAAACTTATCAGGATCAAGATTTGTTGCTCCGAAAGGTATGCTGGCTTGGATATCGATCGCCTTCTACAATTTCTCCGGGGTATATCGGTTCACTGGATTTAGTGTTTATTTACATGATTGAAATGAGAGATTCCCAATGGCAGTGCCATCGCACTCCACTCTTCATTTCATGCTGCCGTTGCACAGCTTGCGTTAATTGACGAGTAGCCTTTGTTCCAAAGGGCAACTGGAAACTCAAGAAAGCAATCTTTGGAGCGAGAATTGCTGACGAGAAAACTCCCAACCTCTCCCAAAAGGTAGTGAAGTCTGTGTCACTTAACATTCCTAACAGGGATTTTTTTTGTGAGGCAAACACGTGTTTGTTTTCCCGTAGATGAAGCGTGAATCACGATGATTGTTATGTATGCACGTCGTGACCGACATTTCACTAGTTAGTCTTCATTATATCTGCAACAAATTAAACCGTCTAATAAAAGAGCGGAGGTCGTTTCCGAAGATGAAGCAGAGATTTCTTATGTGAGATATTTTGATGGTCTGAGTAAAGAGTAAAATGCTGGTAACTGAAGATGGTATAATGAAGTCTACTTAGCATAGGTTTATCAAGGATTTCTCTGAAAGTAGATTTTCTTATGACTTATGTTAGCATGCATGAATATATCATTATGAAAATAAGGGAAAAGCCACACAAGTATCTCTGACGGAATAAGGTGTGTTAGAACTGCACTGTGGGTTTGGAAGAGTTAAGGTAATTCCATCTGCATTTAGATTGCTTTGGATAAATGAGTCATTCTCTGATAGTTTATGGGTATAGATGCATTAACTTGTTGCTTGCAATCAAGGAACCAGTCTTGTTGCGGGTGGTTGATGCGTTTTTCTCTTTATTTTAACGGTAATTCAAATCTTTGAACAGCAATGGGGTGTGCGGTTTAACCTTTCGGTGATCGGATTTCCTCATAGATAAAATTTCTCCACAGTGATAGAAAAAAAGAAAAACGATCAGGGGAAACCTGGGTTTCTGGATGTTACCTTAATTTCATTGTACTTGAATTCGTGCGTGCCCTCTGGAAAAGGTTGGTCTTAGTTTTAGGATTTAGGGTTGTCCACGATCCCTATGGTAACCATCACTTGTAAATGAATTACCTCAAGCAGTGGTATCGAACAAAATTGACCTATTAACATTCATTAACAGTTGCCAGTTACAATGCTGATGACCTAATTCATGCGTAATATGCACCAACACACACAGCGGCGCCTGTAAAAGTAATCGGCCACGTTGGTAACACTGCTTTTATTTTATTTCGTTTACTTTTTTATCATTATCAAAGGTAAATGATTCCAAAATATTTCAGATCAGTTGAATAATTACTGTGCCCGTAGGTCCGTGGGGCCAGGCTATAAAACTCAGAATTCTTTGCAGAAAATGTTACTAGAGAGATATCTGTTGCCTGTCATTATAAAAAGACGCTTAGAGTTTAAGTACTTTTTGTATCCACTTTTCAACACGTTTCAACAATGACGTGTTTAGACATTTACATTGGAATCCATTTAGGAGTGGTTAAACTGCTAAGCACATTTCACAAAGCTAAACATGTTTCATTAAAAATCATTTACAGGTTTCCCCGGTTAATTGCGCACTTCTTTCATTTAAAATTGCTCAAAATGTTGTTTCCAATTTTGAAATAAGACCTTTAGATTTCACTTATAATTCACGAAACCATTCTTATTCGTCCTATTTGTCGTCATTTTCGTCTCATTCCAGGAATGGCGTTGAATTGGAAAAGCATATTAGTTTTTTTGTCATTCATTCCACCGATTGAATTAATCAATTTTGAGTGGCATGATTGAAGAATTAGTGAAAAACAAGTTACTAATCATCTTCTGGTCATTCTTGTAATGATCGGTCAATTAAACGTTTTTATCGTGCAAATTTGATTCGAACGCATGAAATTCAAGGAGTGCAAGGCAATCCTATATAAATAAAGTGCTATGTTCAGATAACTGCTAATTCAAACTATCCTAACGATAAATTCAATGACGAATAGTAATGATTAAATCGGTAAAATGAATGACAAAAATGACCGCTTTTCGAATTAAACACCATCCCGGGAGTGAAAGGGAAATGATGATAAATAGGACAAATAAGATTTTTTAAATTTTTGTGAATGACAGTGCTCTGGAAGTGAAATCTATAGCGGTATAACGTGTAACCTGTCAAGTAGGCCTAAAGTTCTTTATTCTTTTCTCTCTTTTCGGCTCCTTGCATACATAGCTGTTGTTCAGTCTGCTAAAGGTCAGTTGCGTCATATCCTGATTTTCGATGAACATTCAAGACTAGTAACCAAAATGGGTAGCATAATCAACAACCTGCCCTCACCCCGATGAAAAAAAAAGCTTTGTCACATACCTGTGGGTGGGAGGATTCCATGCGTGGAGCATCTAGTCTTTAACCGGCAACCTTGGCCATGTCCAAAACGGGTTTTCAGAGCTATGGCTAGGTCTATTGTCTGGGCGTCTCCGCGTATTTCCAATGGAGTGAAGACCTAGACCTAGTTCTAGACAACAGATTTGGATGCAGCCCTAAATTGAACGGCCGAACAGTTTATTTCGGATTT